AAAATGTACCAAGATTTTGAAGAGGAAAACAAAACAAAAAAAGTTTTGGGCCTCCGCTCATCTGATTTTTGCTCTTTCCAGCCCCCAGGAGCACTCTGCAAGCCTCCCAAGCCTTCTTTGCGCCCTGTTTTTTGTGAAAAATGGGTAAAAAACAGGCCCATTTTTGGCCTCCCAAACCCCCCAGGAATGCCATATTTGCTCTCTCCAGCCCCCAGGAGCACTTTGCAGATCTCCCAAGCCTTCTTTGCGCCTTGTTTTTTTTTTTTGAAAAATGGGTAAAAAAACGGCCCCTTTTTTGGCCTCTCAGACCCCCAGGAGTGCTGTTTTTGCTCTCTACAGCTCTAGGAGCATTCTGTAGGCCTCCCAAGCCCGCTGTGCGCCCCATTTTTGCTGAAAACCGACACGTGGGGTGGGGTTTCAGGAGGCCAAAAATGGCCGTATTCAGTGTATAAGACGCACCAATATTTCCACCCTCTTTTAGGGGTCTTGTACTCCGAAAAGTACGATACTTACATTTGCATGCTTTTGAAATGCTAGGTGGGTAGGAGCTGGGGCAAGTAACGGGAGCTCACCCTTTTGTGTGGATTTCGGGTCTCAAACCTGGGCTGTCAGTTCTCCAGCTGACAAGCGCAGTGTCATGGTGCCTCATTCTACAGAATAGGGAGAAAGCCTACACACAAACCAATAATTACTGAAGTGGAATTTGTATGTGGATGCACCACAGTATGTTAAAACCTATTGTTAGACAAAGAAAAGCTGTATATTTAGTAAATAAATACATTTACAGGTAACAAAAAATTACAACTGAACACTTATGCTTTAATGGCATTTGGTTGATTAAAAAACAAAACGCAAATGCATTATTTCATTTCACAAATAAGGGGGAGAGGCTTAGCTCAAAATTTCCCTAAGTAATACAAGTAAAAATAGTTATCACACTGTTTATGTAATTGGTTCATATCACTCAAATCTGGTGTATCTTATGTCTGAGCTTTACTGTAAGTTACTACCCCCTGCAGTAGAGTTTTTCAGAATTCATGATGACTGTAATATAATATTTATTCACAAGATTTGTAGATATAGTTTTAACACTGAGAATGGAGAGTATCTGAAATCCCTATTGTGGGTTTGTACTCTTGTCCCTGGAAATTCTTTCCTTGGGTGAGAAAGAATGGAGATGCTCTCCTACTTTTGGAGTCCAGACCTTAAATTTTATGTGAAAAATAATCAAAGTAACAGACAACAAAAACCAGTTTGGCAGCCAGTAACACGCAACAAAAACCATAGAAAACAGATATTACTTTCCACAATGGAATCTTTTTGCTTCTTTTGGAATTTCAGATTGCATTGTAACTTTATGAAGCATCTATATTCCTGAAGACCTGTTTAAACAGTTCTTAATATAATTAATTAAATGGGATGCAATTAAAGTAATTAAATCAATGTGATGCAATCACTTAATAAAAATATTTTGATTTCAGAATTAATGAATGACACTTTATGTAAAACCTGGGCTGGCAACCATACTGATAAATCTTTGGTCTTATCTACATAATTCCAGTTCTACACATTTCCCCCCTTTTTTGCAGATGTTTCATAACCAAACTCAGCACTGATAATATTACCTTGTTTGGTAATGAAACATATGCAAAAAACCCACCAAGCTGATAGACCATCAAGGATCTCACATCTCAACCCTGAGCTACAAATATCAGTGAAATGGTATATATTGATTAATATTAAATGGAGGTAACTTTCTGTATTAATACTTGCTGTTTTATTAATATAAGAGTGCTTTCTGGTTGCAGAACAGTCTTTGATTAAGCAGAGGCTCCTTGAAGGTGACTCAAATTTTTCAGCACTACCTTTGCGCTCTCAGAGGGCCTTCAGCCTGGCAGAGAGATTTTCAGGGGATTACTAAGGGGCTCACATACTGCAGAGTGTTTGTTCTGTAAGTCTTATTAGCTCCAAGACTACTCTTTTCTGTTTTAGTACAGAAGCCCCTTGATTAATCATCTAACAGATATATCCTAAAGTGATCAAAATCAAATCCTGCTACATATGTTTTCAATGACGCTGTCAGAAACACTTCTCATATTAAAAATAAATTGAACTGGCTGTTACATAATGCCGATTTTAGGTGGTCTTGCCTGTTTATGTAGGTATAATGATTTCTAGCAGGTAAAGTTTAACTGAAAGGAATAATTACAGATGTTCGCATGTCCAAAGATACTAAGCCAGAAATTTGCAGATATATGAAAATAGGTGTTACTCAGTAATTGGTGTGCCTACGATATTTTGTGTGCTGTTGAGATGAAATAGCATAATTCCAAGTCTTTTAGGTACTGGTTGTTTTATGATAAGATATTAGCTTGCAAGCTTCCCAGCTAAATGTATAATCATGGAATAAAAGGGGCTTATATGCTTCATCCTTCATATCCATTAATTCTTAGGTTTGTGGCTGATTACTGCTGCTTTCTGTGATTTGATGATTCTTCTGCATTGTTTCTTGATGGAACATCCATGTTTGGCCCTTTTTATATTGTGCCTGCCAATCATTTTGTTGCTGATTTTGCTTCCAAAGTAGTAAGATGCTCTTCCACCTTAGTGGGATCTTGTGATTAAAACACTCCCCCCCCCCATGGTACACTTATTAATTTTTTTTAAAAAATGGATAAAAATGAAATAGTATATAATAACTTTGATTAAATAAAAAAATTAAGAGGAGCTCAGTAGCAATAGCATTTAGACTTATATACCGCTCTACAGTGCTTTACAGCACTCTAAGCAGTTTACATAGCCAACAACTGTGTATTTTCCCCAACAATCTGGGTCCTCATTTTACCCAATGTGGAAGAAAGGTAGGCTGAGTCAACCTTGAGCCTGGTGAGATTTGACTACCAAATTGCAGTCAGCTGGCAGTCAGCAGAAATAATCTACACTCTAACCACTGTGCCACCTCTGCTCATAAACAGCTGCTTCTCCTTTGCAGTCTTAGTACCTCCCCTAAAATAGTGATGCACAAGTTTATATATGAAGGCTTATTAAACCTTATATGGGAAACTATAATTGTAGAAGTTATGCACTCATTTGGACTGAATTTATATGGAAATTATTGATTTCTTTAGTTGTATAAAAATGGATAGCTCTTCCTTCATTCCATAGAAAGTTTTATTATGGAAGTAGAAGATTTCTGATTACAGCTCTCTACAGGAATACACTTTCAGATGTGTTGGGATCACAACAAAAATATTGGTGACATATGCTGGATTGCATTTTTATTTTTGTTTGTACCATAACAGATTGAATTGCTTTTCTCGGAATAAAAACCTTCCCAATGTTTTATTAGCTCAGACTGTGCTATAAAAATTAAAGCTTGTAATTCAGTTATAGAGCATTCCATGACAAAATAATCTACTTGAAAATTTTCACAAGCCAGAGAAAATACCTACCAGTTATATCTACACAGAGGTGGGTTGCTCCCGGTTCGGCCTGTATCGGGCGAACTGATAGTAGCAGTGGTGGAAGGCTCCGCCCACCTGCTTGGATGCGTGAGAGTGAACTGGTATTAAAAAATTTGGAAACCTACCACTTCTGTACAGCATTATGAATAGTTATACTTTTGGCCAGCAATCCTGATGAATCAGAAGTGGATTATATAGGTTTAACATTATTTGTGTTCTGTTTTGGCACTGTTTTTAACTTTGTATTCCTAGGATGCTTTAGTGTTTTGGAGCTTTTGGGGCAAAGATGGCTTTCAGAGTCAGTAAAGCAATTAAACACTATCTCTGTTTTATGATCCCAAGTATACACAAGAAGTTTGTCTGTATAGGTTTCCTGCAGGGTAAATTACGAAGTCACATATATCAAGAAATATTCTGTCTAACAATATAGTGGAATCATGCTATCTGTATATGCTAGTCCCCAGGTTTCATTCTAGAGCTCTTCTTCTTGCCTCTTTGAATCAACTGCTGTGTAACTGCTCAGTTTTGAGGGTTTCTGCCTTTTGTCCCTTGTTTACAATATGGCTGTTTCAAGCATGAGAATCAGAGATTCCTGCCTCACTGGCTTCAATTCTTATACCATCTCTCCTTTTCTTGACTGAGCAATCATATAGTAGCAAGTTGCAACTAGTTTAATAATGGGATTGTAATTCAGACAACGAACACGACAGTCGTACACTCAGCTTAAACACTCAGGCACAAACTCCAGGGAAGATGAGATCTTGTCTGGTAGCCAGGGTACTGTACCAACCATGCCAATGCAGCTTAAAGCAGAGAATCCAGGGGGGGGGGGAAATCCCCAGAGGTTTACAGTCCAGAACTGTAGCTACAACAATCAAGAGTTAAAAGATTGGCAATTAATGGGAAGCAGGCCCCAATAAAAGGGGTGAGGTGGGGCAGAGAAACAAGACTGTTCCGTATCAGCCAAAGATTCAAACACAAAAGAATTCCACAAGCCAGTTTGAGTCATAAACATTGATAAGAGAGTAAAGATTCAGGAATGTAGGTCTCATTTTGGGGACTTGTTAACTGAGGTCCTGGTAACTACTGCTAAGTAGCTCCAGCTACAAAAATCTTCAAAAATCAGCATTGCTGGAAGTTATTGAGCTGGGAGATCAGTCAGAAAATGTATGGAAATGTTTCAAATAGGATTGCTGAAGGATTTCCCACAATTTTTTCATTTTTGAACAGCTCTTGCCAAAGAATCAGATGCTCCAGAAGGCTCTTTCTGTGTTGGTAATCCAAAATGAAGCAGTTGATTCTTGAGAAAGTGTAAATTGTTCCATATAGTAGAAGATAATATGGCTGTCAAACATTTTTCCCGGCCTACTGATTACTGGTAATGATCTTCCCCAGCTCTTTAAGCCATGTTGGTATAATGTAAGAATCTAAGGTAATCCCATCAGAATGACTTGCTTTTACCGTGTATTAATTTTACAGTGGACAACATATTCAAGAATATTCTTCAATATTTAAAAGTTCCTCTGGAGGCAAGCTCATTGGAAAGGTTCCATGAAGGTAGAATTCATTTTAAAATGTTACATGTTCTTGCAATTTTAAAGTTGATTGAATACAGTAATTTGTTTAAGCATTTCTTTTGTATTATCTGGTTACTGAATGAAGTGGCACTGCCCATTTCACAGTTTTACAATTTAATATTTATATTATTGTATATCCCTTTCCTTCAGAAGCAGACCTGGATTCTTTTTTTTAAAATACCCTGTGAGTGTTTCTTTTTTTACTTGAAATGCTTTTCTAAATTAATTTTTAGAGTTTGGGATTTTAAATCAAAGAATAAATTTGTTGAAAACAAATATGTTGGCTTTAGAGTGTGCCTTTTAAATATTAATTCAATTTGAAAACATTTGTATCCAGTTTTATCTTGAAGAACTTCTTTTAGGCAGCTTGTAGGATAATAAAATCATTTGTCATAGGAATGTCATGATGTAAATATACAAAGAGAAAATCTCTATCCCTGTAGGAGGAGGAGTGGCAGAACCTGAAGTGTAGTCAAAAGAGGGATCAGCCTAGAATCTCTATGTAGCCTCAAGCGAACTATGTCCAACCTCCCTTGAATTAAATGGACGCTTTTCTAACTCCAAGCTGATGCTAATGATTAGTTGAGAAGATTCCTGTGCATAGGCAGAATTAGCTATAAATCAGTTTTAACTGGACCTTTATTTGCGGACTTGATCTTTCGAGCCTGACAACCCCCAACCCCCCCAAAAGCAGCAATCATAAGATTCAGAGAGTGATATACTTTCTTTTAAAATATGATACTTTTCAGGATAATGAAGAGTAAAATTGGCCTTTTTTGAATGGGAGCTCTAGAAGAAATGACCTATTTGTCCTGCTCTTCCAGGCCAACCTGAAACCTTTTGTAAAGGTGTGGCAAAATTATGTTTGTGCGCGCGCCATAATTCAGTGCTCCTCAAGCACCTGCACATGTGTGTACAACCCCCACCCCTCACATATGCGCACAACCCCCCCCCCCACATGCAGGGGGGGAGTTTTCACCCTCTCCAGGCTCCCGAGACTTTCCTGAAGTCTGGAGAGGGTGAAAAACGGGCCCAATGGGCCAACTGTAACTTCAGAAACAAACTTCTGGTTGGCTCATTGGCCTGTTTTTCACCTCCCCAGGCTTCAGGAAAGCCTCTGGAGCCTGGGGAGGGTGAAAACAGCTTCCCCCGGCCCTCCGGAAGGCCGAAAATCATGTATGCGCCGGAGCTGATGGCGTGCCATAGATTCGCCATCACAGTGCTAGGGAGACATATGAAAAGAATTGACATCAAACACTAGGCTGGTTGATACAGAAGGCTGCACTTGCTCAAATATCTTGATTTCAGAGGCATCTGCAGAAAGGAAAGAAACAGGACGTTGGAGGTCATCATAGGACCATCTAGGCCCCTCCCTTTTGGTATATGTATCAATATCAACACATATACAAATGTCATCTTGACTGGTTTTTTTTTTATCTTTCCCTTCAGAGTGCTTAAGCCTTTACATATTTTCAGCAGGACTTTGTGCCCCATACCAATTTGGAAACTTATAATTGTTTCAAGAATAAAATGCTCTTAAAAACTAGTTCATCCAGTGCATCCTGTACTCCTGTATTCAATGTTCTGGAGGTCATCCATAAATTAATCTTGATCCTTTAATGCTGGTTTGAAATGAAAAAAAAAATCAGAATAACTTAGAGTTAAAGAGCTTCAAAAAGTTTAGAGATTAGGCAGAAATGCTATAGTGTGATGGCAACTGTCTGCCTTAATATTTTGATCAGCGTTCCCAATGTCTTTGGGGCACTGGAATTATTTGAAATTTTAAAAGAATTTTATGGAAATGCAAAACACTGACATTTTTGTATAATAAGCAAACACCTTTCATATATTTTTTAAGCTGTGTCAGAGGAACCGATGGAAATGCAAGTTATGCTTGATGCTAACGCTTTGCGGCATGTTAGAATCCCATTCTGTGAGTGGGATGGGTGGGTGTATTAAATGACTATAAAATCTTTTACAACTTTTTGCATCTGTGTTGTGCCTTCTTTGAACAAAGCATATAGGCCCTTCCACATGCCACCTTGTATGAAATGTAGGTGGCTATTAGTAGTAGAATTGTTTCCATCACATACACCGCCCGCCTTTTTGCTAGAGAGTTGAAGGGATTTCTTAAAGCAAGCTATAGGAGGAGATGGAGAATGGAGTGGAGGAGAACTTCCATCACAGTATATAACTGTTGGACAAGAAGTGTTGAATATGCTAGCATGAGGTTTTTCATACCATGCTCTTTTTGTGCAAGAACCTTGATAATTTTTTTAAAAAGCAAACAATGTCTTTGCCAGCAAATATTGTGTCTTCATGGGAGAGATCATGCAATAGAGAGAAATGTATCTGTTCTTTTATGTCAGTGATAACATACTTGTTTACCAGTTGAATACACTGCTGGAAGGTGGAAATCAGAAGACTTCCAGGACATTTCCCTTTTTATCTAAAGTTACAGAGTGTGGCAAAAACTGAAATGGAATTGTGAAAGGAAATGGGTTTCATAGAATCCAGTCAAGCCTGGAGTGTATGGCTAAGTCAGGTTACATTACTCTGTTATCCAGAAAAGCATTATTAATGTTAGTTACACTAATGAAAGCAAGTGCTCGAAGGCTGAGAGATAGTAACTAACTTTTTTGTTTCCCTGATTGTGCCTAAATAGCTGGTTTTTCTGCTCATTTCATTCATTCTTCCAGTACATTCTAATTTGTCTCTGATAAATGGAAATTTTCATTTTTATTATATGCTTAAACAGATTGGCTTAGGGAGTAATTAATTTGATAATTAGTGCAGACCCACCTTTATTAGTTTTATGAACAACTCAAATACGCATGTATCTAATACTGCTTCCTCCTCCTGTTTTCCTCACAACCACCCTGTCAGGTCTGTAGCTCAAAGTCACCCAGCTGGCTTTCATGGCTAAAGTGGGATTAGAACTGGTTTCTAATCTGGTGCCTTAACCACTAAATCATATAACATATATGACAAATAAATACTGTGCAGGTTATATGACAGTATATATGCAGTGGCATGTGAAAAAGACCTTGAGAATCAGGACAAGAAAATGCTGTCTAGGTCAGATAGAAGAGGACATCGCTCATAGCTGCATAATGGGCAGCGGAAGAGACTCCGAATGGACCCTCCATAGCTCCTCAGGCTGTTATGGAGATCCTGGGAGACTTACTTTCAAACTTGTAAGATTTTGTTAATATACTGTAGCTTTACAATAAAGGAGCGTTAGCCCATCTGGTCGTGCTTCCTGTCTGTTTTACCTGGAAAATATATAACAATATGTGTCTTATTTGGACAATATATGTCTAAGATTACATTCTTATTCTTAATGTGTTATCTTAAAACATTGTAGTACTTTATTAAGGTCCATGCCAGTGTTTCCATTAAATATCAAAGTTGTGTGTGACATAATAAGCATTTTAATTTCTAGTATTTTATTTCCCCCCTCCCCCAGTTTTTACGATTATATCACTATGAATTATGTAGGTAGTACAATATGTTTCAAAACCATAAAGCCTTCAACCATGAAATACTGAGATTTGTAAAATAACTAACAAAATCGCTGGGTTGTGCTCCTTCTAAGCATTTTTTGTGGGATAAATATTGTACTCTTGAAAGACATATTATTTTATTAGACATTGCAATACAAAATGCCCTTGCATTTTAAATAAAAGATAAATACATTGTAGAGATGGTGACAAAAGTATCAGAAACTCCCTTTTTTCCTATTCATTATTTTATTTATTAATTTTATTGCTTGAGTCTGCATAAACACTCTTAACTTCTAACTCCTTTCAAAGAAAGGGGTAAAAATGTTAATTAGATTTATCACATTTTGCATATAATGTGCTGCTATCTGGCCCACAATTAACTTACAGATCTATTTTTATTTCTGTTTTGCATTGTATGCATTCTAGTGAAATTATTTAGATGTTTAAGTATACTTTGAAACAGTCTCTGTCATCCCCCCCCCTTAGAATGTTTGTGCACTAAAACAAGGTGGGGTGAGGAATGTTAATAGACCATTGATGTCAATTTTCCAGAAATATCCTAATATAAATTCTGTAGTTTTCAGTTAATTAATTTGCATTAAAGAGACTAAAGAGGCAATTCTTTGAATTATTTTTAAAATGTTCTTGATAGTATGCCTAAAATTGCCTAGAAGGAGCAAATATTTTTTTCTGTAGAATAGCCAAAAACCATACCATATAAAACAAAATTGGTGCAATATATACCAACAGCCCTGTCTTTGCAGGGAAAAATAGGTGTGCACGTAAAAATGCAAGTAGAAAAATAGGAACCACCTTGGTGGGAAAGTAACAGCGTTCTGTGTGCCTTTGGCGTTTAGTCATACCAGCCACATGACCACAGAAAATGTTTTCAGACAGTGCTGACTCTTCAGCTTTGAAAAGGAGATGAGTACCACCCCCTAGAGTTTGGAATGACTAGCATTTGTATGAGGGGAAGCTTTACTTTTACTTTTATAGGTGTGAGAGTAAGCAGTCCTGCTAGTGACTTTGGCCTAAGCTCAGTAAAACTTTGCATATTAAAGTAAATATATTTGGGATTCAAAAAACTATAGCAACTGATACAGTGGTTTCAGTACAAGATTGATAGGATAATTCCAAATGGTACCACTCACTATCAATATCACTTAGACTTATATATGCTTCACAGTGCTTTGCTGCCCCTTCTAAGTGGTTTACAGAGTTGGCCTACTGCCGCTAAAATCTGGGTCCTCATTTTACTACCTCGGAAGAATGGAAGGCTGAGTCAACCTTGAGCCAGTGAGAATCGAACTGCTGGCAGTCAGCAGAAGTAGCCTGCAATACTGCATTCTAACCACTGCACCACCATGGCTCACCACACCACCTAGGCTGCCATATTGTGGGCTAGTTGCAGTTTCCAGTATGTCATTCACGACTGTCTCACAAGGAGCACCTTGCAAAAATTGAACCTTGAGAT